AAGCTGGAGGAACAGGTGAGGTGAATTGCCATGGTCCCTGTCATTCATCACCCTGCATATATATTGTTAAGTGCCATCGAGTCAATTTCAACCCACAGTGACCCTTTATAGGGCATCCTAGAAGCAGCTGGTGAGTTCGAAACGCTGACCTTGCAATTCAAACCGACCTTGCTGTCCAGTGCTTATCCTACAATGCCATACCAGGACTCCTGTATACATATATGAGTCTGACTCATAGCGACCCTGTATAGGGTTTCTGAGGCTGTAAATCTTGACGGGAGCAGAAAGCCTCATCTTTCTCCCACAGAAAACTGGTAGTTTCAAACTGCTGACCATGAGGTTTGTAGCCCGACATGTAACCACTATGCTACCAGAGCTCCATATCTCTATATAGCAGCTCCTGATGTGGTGCTGTGGGTTAATGCGCTGGACTGCAAGGTTGGTTTAAACTGCAAGGTGGGTCGTTCACGCTCACCAGCTGTTCCTAGGAAACACAATACAGGGTCACTATGAGTTAGAACCGACTCCAAAGCACTTAGCAACAACAACATATGTATGTGTAAATATTTAATTTAATTTGAATATATTAATTTAATATATTCAAATTAAAATTGGAATCTTTTAAATTCAAAAGAATTTAAATGAACTTTCATCTCAGCAAACATGCTTTGTTGATATTTTTTATTTTTTGTTTTTTACTAAGAAGAGCCCTGGTGGCATTGTAGGGAAAACACTGGACTACTCACTGAAAGGTCGGCAGTTCAAACCCACCAGCCACTCAGCAGGAGAAAGAAGATGCTGTCTGCACCTGAAATGATTTGTTGTTGTTAAGTACCATCAAGTCAATTCCAATCCATAGTGACCCTGTATAGTGTTTCCGAGGAGCAGCTGGTGGGTTTGAACTGCCAACCTGTGGTTCAAACTGACCTTGCTGTCTAGCAAATTATCCTACAGCCCCACATACAACCTTGGAAATCCAATATAAGGTCACTGGGAGTCAGAACTGACTTGATGGCATCAGTTGGGTTTGGTTTTAGGTTTCTCACAGGGAGGTTAAAGCACATGGCTGGTAGGTTGCTGGTTCAGCTACTGTGCAGGAGAAAAGATAAGCCAGTCTACTTCCTGTAAAGATTTATAGCCTTGGAAACCCTATGGGGGCAGTTCTGTCCTGTCCTGTCCTAGATGGTCACTCTGAGTCAGAATGGACTTGATGGCTGGCAGTGGTGATGCTGCCCAGCTCGAGGTTAAGGTCCTGGAGTGCTCTGTGTTCCTCTCTTTGGAGCAAATACCAGCGGTTCCTTTTGTATGACCAACACCTCCCATGTTAGGAGCAGGGATTGCTATTTCTTGTCAGGTGGTGTGGGCATGTCTAATCCCACTGCAAAGCTGAGCAGAGACAGCAGAGAGCTCTGGGGCAGTCTGTCTCATGGACAGTGATGAGACTGTAATCCATTTCTTTTTTAACTTTTTATTGTGAATTGACTGAAGGTTAACAGACAAGCTCATCATTATACACTTTGTTTCATCTCAATGATTGCAATCCCCTCCATGCAATGACAGTTCTACTTAATCCTGTGGCTTCCCTTTTACATCTTACATTTCACAAATGAACAAAGCAAAAATATTTGATGTACACATACGAAATAAAAAATATTCATTTAAAAATCCTGAGGGCATATTCTGCAAGCCAGCCTCCTGCCTGCAGGCACACAGCCTTACTCAGTCCATGGGCGTAGAGTCCACAGCTGCTCTGTCTCTCCATGCCATCGCCTCTGCCTCCATCTCTGCTGTCATCCCTTTTCTAGGTAGGATCTCACGTTCCACTCATGTTGTTTCTTCTTGATGGTCCTGGGATCATCTGTTCCTGAAATAAAAGATTAACTACTCTCCCCTTTTAGTTACACATCTTCTACAATTACAGTTGTGACAATCACAATTAATCCTGCTAACATTTACTCACAATTTAATCATAAAATCCTATCAGCATCATCCCCTGTCCCCTTTCACCAGACCCATATGGAAAAGAGGAAACCTATTCAGTGGAGATTCTACCTTACCCCCTTGTTCTGAAATTAAGCACACTCATGAAAGGTTATAAGCCAGCAACTTCATGCCTTTATAGACCCTCATTTTTTGACAGCCAATGTCTAAATTGCCCACTACTATCAGTGTGGTGCTGTGGGTTAATGCGTCAGACTGCAAAGTCATTTGAACTGCAAGGTCGGTGGTTCAAGCTCACCAGCTGCTCCTTGGAAACCCTATACAGGGTTGCTATGGGTTAGAATCGACTCAACAGCACTTAACAACAACAATATCAATCCAATGCACTGAGGAAACAAGCTTACTGTAATCTATATTTTAATTTGGTTTTTGTGCCTTTTTTCCCCTCTAATTTCTCCCCCTAAATTTTCTCATTTTCATGTTGCAAAATTATGTCTTGACCTTTCTTACCAGTTTAGTTTTCTCTCTTTAGAAAAGCTTTCGTTTTGTTGTTGTTGTTGTTTTTTAACTTTTAAAATCTGCTCTCCCTACACCTTCCTTGGTGGACTTGCATGTTCAGAACCAACCAGCCTCTTCTTTTGCCTCTCTTCCGTGTCCTTCCCTTTTGCTGGGGTACAGACTTCCGGCACCATCTTTTGAGCGTCGACTGTGGTTCTGCTGCTTGGACAGCCTAGACTTCAGTGTTTCCAGGGACTTGGGAGATGGGTGGTATGGAGAGACTCCACTTGCATTCAGACTGGGAGCTGAGGGATGTAGCTACCCACATGGATGGGAGAGCAGGGCTACGCAGTAGTGGGGTGGGGGACCCTCCTTGCCAGGGGTTCTCCTATGTCAGTGGACCTCAGAGCCCACCCCACGAGACTTACTGAATTAAACTCTCTTGAGTGTAATGACTGGAATCCGCCTGGGCAGCCTACTCAGGTGGTTCTGATGTGGTGCAAAATTGTTAGCTGCCTCGTTGTCCCTGACGCCTGGTAGTCCCACGAACAATAGAAGGAAACATTGCCCATCCCCAAGAGCAGCTGGGGCTCTTTAGACTGTTGAGATCTACAAGGTTTTCATTGGCTGATTTTCCAAAGCACATTGTGTATCTTCTTGAAGCTCCGTGTCTGCTTGAAGCTCAGCTGAAACCTGTATAGCATCATAGTAATCTGCAAGCCTCCACTGACATGCACTGACAGGGAATGAACCCAGGTCTCCCATATGAAAGGGGAGAATTCTGCCACTGAAACATTGCTGGGAAGGCTTTGAAGTTCTGGTTCCAGGCTACAGTCTGCCTTCTTTGTGTTAGGAAGGACAACTGGAATCTCAGCTGGGGCAGATACAATCCAGAAGAGAACCCTTCCCAGTGATATGCCAAAGCTGTCAGTAGGAGTGTTTCCCCCGGTGCAGGTAATAAGGGGGCAGCCGTTGGTGGAGAATCTGAAAACAGTAACAAACTGAGAGGCAAGCAGCTTCTTTGTGTCACCAGGCCTCAGTGTCTGGCGCTGTAGGCTAAGCACCGGACCGCAAACCACAAGTTCAGCAGTTCCAAACCTTGGAAATCCTAACAGGGTCGCTATGAGTCAGACTAGACTCGAAGGCAATTAACAACAACAAGGCCCCAGTGATAAACCTACACCCTATCAGTGAGAAACCCTCTTCCCATCCTGTGACCCCTCCCCAAGTCATGATGTGTTCAGATGAGACACCACCCATGAGCAGCAACTCATCTGTACTGGTTTCTTTTCAATGTTTTATTTTTCAAAATATACAATTTATTTACATCTTTATTTCACAACTGTAGTTTTGTATATTTATTCCAAAATCTTTAAATAACTCCACAGTAAACATAAATCACAGGGTCACACTGCATCTCTTTAGTCTTTACTCATTGAGTTTAAAAAAAAAGTTTCAAGTAGTAACTGTTTGGGGAGTAAGAAAGGGGCAAAATATGGCAAAGCAGGTTTTTTGTTTGTTTGTTTTATGTAAGACCAACACATAGAATTAGAAAGGGGCTTCTGACCAGCTACTCTGCCTATGGGCAGACCAAGGGCGTTCCTGACGTTTCTAAATCAGATCCTCTTGTGCGCAGAGAGGGTTTTGGTTATGAGGACGTAGAAGCTGGACCTCATCTGCAGGGTCTGGGGATGGGGCAGGAGACCAAAGGTGGGAGATAAGGCACCATGTGAGGCTTCTTGTCAGCATAAGGAGGCACTGGCATGGAGGGTCCTGAGTGAGGAGGCAGGGAACCACCTGTGCTAGGTGGAGGCCAACAATGACCGGGGATAGGGTAGGGCTGTCTGCAAAAGAGAGGTCTTTTCAGCCTCTCTTGGGAAAACCTCTGTGATTCTGGCTGCAGTAGCTGGTGGTTCCTGAGGAGAGAACCAGGGCCTCCTGTTAGCTTTAAGGTCATCTGCACAGCCCAGTGAGTCCAGGGCAGGTGCTAGGTACACTGTGAAAGCACCTACAGGTACAGCTGGCATCTGTGTTTGGCTAAGGGGGGGTGGGTAGACCAGTGGGTCCCAGATCTGGGGGTGCCCTCCCTGGGAGGCATCATGCCATCTCTTCTTGTGAGAGCCCTTCAGCCACCTCAGTAGCCCCCTTCCTCAAGAGGCCAAGCTCCCCAGTAGATCCCAAGCAGGAAGAGACCCCTCCTTGATGTAAAACATTGGCAGTGCACTGCATAGGACACAAGCCTGGGCCCAGGGGTCAGTCTCCATCATTCCCCTTGGGGTTTCTGCAGTTGGCAGAACCAGATGAAGTTGTGTGGGCTGAAGCTCTGGGAGGGGTGCAGGCAGGGCAGCCGAGCTGTACCAGGAAAGAGTTGACCTTGAGAGCCATCTGCCACCAAGTGCATATGACCTCCCTGTGGTGGGTGAGAAGGTCAGTTCTTGCTTGAGGTTTCTCCAGCACCCTCCACCAAGTCCATGCTGCCTGGCCAAGCAAACCTTCTTAGCAGGGGCAGGGGTGGGGAGACTAGGGCTAGGCTGAGGGCAGGGCAGAAGGGCAGCGTGTGATCACTGTGTCTTCAGGTGGGTTTCCTCCGGGATGAGGGTGTGGAAAAAGTAATCCCATAATCTAGTGCTGATGCCAAATCCTAGAGGAGGAGACAAACAGATTGGAGATGAGGCCCTATTGAAGGGCTGTGACACATCTGCTGGGGAATTAGCCAGGGCGTGGTGAGCAGCTAACATCCCTCTCTGCTGGTAAGAGCACGGCACCTACACTTGAAGAAACTCAAATTCCTGCCTCTCTCCTTACACTCTGGCCTCCTTCCTCGTTTTCACCAAACCCACTTCCGCTTCAGGCCTTTGCACCTGTTGCCTCTGGGATGCTCTTTCCACAGACAGCCACATGCTGGCCTCTCCTCTTCATTAATCTGTTCTAACCATGTCTCTGCAGGGGTGCTTCCCAGACCATTGGATCTCCAGATGAGCTGTCCAATATGGCAGCCACATGTGGCTAGTGAGCACTAGGAATGTGGCCAGGGTTGTGGTAGAACTATATGTTTAATTGCCTTTCACTTTGTTAACTTACATTTCATTTCGTTATAAAGACGTGTACTTGACTCAGAGGAAAACGGTAAGCATGTTTGGAACAATGTATGTATGTGAATCTACTTTGTGGAAGGTGAATTTTATCAGTGTAAATATAAGTACTTCCAGTGAAAATTTAGCATCCGATTTGAGATGTGCTATGTACTATAGGAGAAGCACTGGGACCACAAGATTGGTTTGAACTGCAAGGTTGGTGGTTCAAACTCACCATTCGCTCCTCGGAAATGCTATGTAGGATTCCTATGAATCGGAACCAACCTGACGGCACTTAACAACAACTACAACAACATAGGTAGGCTAGATACTGGAGTGCTAACCATAACGCCGGCAGTTCAAACCCAGCAGTCACTCCTCGGGAGAAAGATGAGGATTTCTGTTCCCGGAAAGATTTATAGTCCCTCCTCAAGTCCTGGTGTGGCGCTGTGGGTTAATGTGCTAGACTGCAAGGCCATTTGAACTGCCAAGTCGGCGGTTCAAGCTCACCAGCTGCTTCTCAGAAAACCCTATACAGGGTCGCTATGGGTCGGAACTGACTCCACGGCACTAAACAACAACAACATGCTATATAAGGTTGCTATGAATTGGAATTGGCTTAATGGCAGTGGGCTAACAGAGCAAAAGGGTGTTCCTGTGTGACACAAATGGTTATGTGCTCACCTACTCGAAAGGCTGGTGATTCAAACCCATCTTGGAAAGCAGGTAGGTGCCTTTGAAAAGCCTTGAAGAGCAATGCTACTCTGCACGTGGGAGGTTGCCACAGTCAGACTAAGCTTAGTGACACAGGTAACTCAACCACCCAAGTCCAAAACGCACCATGGATTAAGACGTAGTGTAAGAAAAAAAGAGTGTAAAAAATCTAACTAACATTTTTTTACCTTATTTGCATATGTTGAAATAATATTTTGGATATACAAGGGGGTGGTGTGTTAAAAAATGTTCATAGAAAAATTCCATTTATCTTTTTACTCCACTTTTTCACGAACTTGTTTTTAATAATATACTTAATCCTGTAGAAAGCCCCCTCGTACTGGATTAAGTATATTATTAAAATTCATTGTATCTGTTCGTTTTTATTTCTTAATGTGGCTACTGTTGTTAAGTGACGTTGCGTCGGTTCTGACTCAAGGCAACCCTGTATGGGGTTTCCACCTGCGGTTCAGTGCTTACCATACAGTACCACTAGAACATGGAAAATTACATGCGTGGTTCGTGCTCTATTTTATTGGCCAGTGCTGGACTCCACCCACCTTTATAGTCCCTCCCACATCACCCTGGGTGATTTTCTTTGCGGAATCTTATTGTCTGAGATTACGTTGGTGACGCATTAATTGCCTGCCTTCCTGCCTGCCCGCTCCATCACGGAGCACAGGAGCCCACAACCTTACGGTCCTCACCTGACTTCTGATGTGTAAAGTGATGCTTGACGTGGTGGGCCTTCATGTTGTACAGGAAGGAGCCCTTGTGTGGTGAGCCGAAGTGCAAGTAGTAGTGCATCATGTCGTAGAGCACGTAACCCAGGAGGCCCCCGGCGAACAAAGTGCCCCCCACCGCCTCGGGCAGCATGAGGCGAGCTAGCACGTAGAAGAAGAAGATCACCATAGATGCTGGCGCCGGCGGGAAGACCAGGCGCGAGCCATCGAAAGGAGCCTGCAGATGGAAAGGGTTGCTCTGAGCTCGCGAGTCTCTCGCAGCACACCAGGGAGGCTGGGCACTTTCGTGGCATTTGGGTCCACAGGCTGAGCTTAGAGGCTTGGAACTAGAAAGGAGATTGACCCAAGAGCCACATCCATCCCCGTGGTATCTTTGCCCTCTTCTTTACTCTCTGCGTGTCCCAGGGCCTTTCCCAGGAAGCCCCATGCTCTGCATTTCCCCTTACATCTCTCTCCTCAAATGGGGGTCCTTCTCCCCCCAGAACTATGTTCTCTGCAGGGCGTAAATCAGAGAGAATGTGACTGACATTGTATTTTCAGGAGGTGGTGGGCCTTCGTGTTGTACAAAAACACAAAATAAAAACCTTGTGTGGTGCAAAAACACAAAATAAAATCCTTAGGTGATGAACTGAAATTAGATTTTGGGTTCCTGGCTACAACGTAAACGTATTCTAGTTGGTCTGAAGGGACTCAGCCCAGTCTGCATAGACTTGGGGTGGGGGTGGTACAACACCTTGGCTGTGCTGGGTGTGGCCTTGGGTGAGTCCCTCATTTTCTTCAAGCCTCAGTTTATTGCTCTGTGAAATGGGGAGAACCATGGGAGGAAGCTTCAAAAGGGCAGGGATTTTTGTTCATCCCGTTCAGTTGTGTTTGGAACTGTGCCTGGCACATCGTAGACACTTTTATTTGTTGAATGACTGAGTGACTTGTAGTGACGGTTAAATCTCATGATGCAAGAAATGTATTTGCAGAGTTTTGGGGATAAATATCGATGTCATAAACACACCCATGGATCCTCTGACCCCACCACCCCTCTGAGCATTATCACATAACCATGTTTTCCCAGCCACCCACACAGCTAGACACCAGAGAGCTCCGAGGCCCTGACAGCTGTTCCATGGCCCTCACCTTGTGGTGCTGACCGTGCATTATGAAATGCAGTGTGATGAGGTAATAGCTGTTGCTCGGAGGCTTCATGTGGAACAGGAAGCGGTGGATGAGGTACTCGATGAGGCTCCAAAGGAACATCCCCAACATGAAGAGGCCTGGGAACATGGACTCCGACATTGTCACCGAGTAATCTGTGGGGCAGCAAGGAGGGAGCAAGGTCAGGGCAAATGGCCCCTGTGCCCTACTGTGTCCGGGGCTCCAGATGGCCCTTGGCTCACTGCCCTCATCACTTGGGGAGCTATTGCACTCGGTTCATCAACTTGGGGCCTGGGTCACACTGTTAGGGCCCTTGGGTCAAAAGGGAGAAGAGGCTGTGAGGACCCCTCTGGGGGCACCCTGGGGCTGCTGCCTAGAAATGTGCTGTTTTCCTCTGAGGGGCTGCGGCCAGCTCACTCCTCGTGAAGGGTCACCTGGCCTCAGTGGGACAGAGGAGCAGGGAAGCATCTTGAATATGTCAGTGGATCCAGCGCTTGTTGGTGAAGATGCTTACAGCCAGGGGCTGTGGGGTGGGGGGCACTGCAGGTTAAAGTGCTCGACTGCAAAGTTGCGTTGAACCACAAGCTTGGTGGTTCAAGCTCACCAGTAGCTCCTGGGAAGCCCTATACAGGGTCATTATGGGTTAACAACAACAACAAGGGGGCAGGAAGGGCAGGGAAACCCCAGTGCAGAAATTTCAATGGACCAGATTTGGTATCACGACATGTGAGCATATACAGCCTCTCAACCACTTTTAGCTGTACCTCCTTCTGCCCCTTGGTTCCCATAGGTGTGTACACAGGTACATGGACACTGGGATATCAGAATACGGGTCTCTGGGCTGGAAGGCAAGAATTTTACTACTGCCCAATCAGAACAGGAGTCCTGGTGTGGTGCTGCAGGATAATGTGCTGGACCGCAAGGTCAGTGTGAACCCCAACGTCAGCAGTTCAAATTCACCAGCTGCTCCTCGGAAACCCTGTGAAAAGTTCACTTGAGTAGTAACTGATTTGATGGCACTAAAATACAGATGGCAACAACTGTATCTTTACAGAAGCACATTGCTACATCTTTTTCCTGAGAAGCAGTGTGTGGGTTTAAACTGCCAACTTTCCAATTCGCTGCAAAGTGCTTAACCTCTGTACCAGCTGCACCTTCCCTTGTTTTTATATTCTTGTTTTCTCTGCCTGTGACTTGCCTGTGGAGTTGTGGATGCCGGAGACCTAAGATCTCTCATGCAGTGGGTATCATGGTTTCTTTATTAGCTCCGCACATTACAGCTCTCTGCAGAGGCTGGGGGTTGCTGACCCAGTCCTCAATTCACCCTTCCTGCCACTAAGAAAGGTCCCCTCCTATAGGTCAAGTCCCACCCACCCCCTCACCCCAGTGTGTCGCCACTGTGGCAAGCCCATCTGGCTGGAGCTGGTACAGCATGGCATCTCCAAGGAGGACTCTGGCTGGGCTGGCCTGGCTTGGCGGAGGGACCTGGGCCAAACCTCCGGGCCTGGCCTGCCCCTCCCCCGCAGCGCTGGCGGCCCTGCTACTGTTGGTGATTGTTAGGGGAGCTCTGGGGACAGTGAGCAATTCAGCCGGCAGGCCTGTTGAGCAACAAGCCCTGTGCTGTGCCTGAGCTAGTCAGTGTGGGTAGAGAAGGGCAACTGTGGCTCTCAGCATGCTTGGTAACCTTCGGTGTGGTGGGGAGGCCGAGGAGAGGTGACTCCAGCTGCTTGCTCATCCCCACCCCCCATCCTGGGGGAAAACTCAGGGTGGTCTCTCCCATCCAAGGGTGGGGAAGGAACCAGCATGTGGGGTGGAGAACATGGGGCCCAATGGCTCCCAGGCAGTAAGGTGAAGGGTGACCAGTGGAGGGGCAGGCCATTCCCAGCACCCTCTGCTTCCTGTGTAAGCCTACCTAGATTAGCACCTCCCCTGGCTAGCTGAGGTGACATGTGCTTGGAGGTAGACAGTGTGCCTTCCCAGGAGGCTGTTGGAGGAAGTCACACCCACACCGGTGGGCTGCCTGAGACACTACCCCTAGATCTGTGGGCTTTTTGGAAGTTGTCCCAGGCTATCCCCTCTCTGTCTCCTGCCTCATGCCTAGAAGCTCGGGGTACCTGGTACTCACCTCCCATCCCCATGACCCTCTGAGACTCCATTTCCTTATCCTGTAAGGGAAAGTCAATGGAACCTTTCTCATGGGCTGCAGGGAAGAGGAACTAAAATGATCCTGGAAGGTTCAGGCCCGGCCCAGGGCAAATGCTCCAGGGAGGAGAGGGGACTGGTACTTCAGTAGGGTCTCTGCCACTTGGGCCTCTGAGACACTGTGGACACACCAGTGTCTCTCCCAGGCCATTCAGAGTCCAGCTCTAGCTGACAGAATGATTTAATGCAGTTTCTGAACAAAGTTAGGCGACATATGTTCTGCTCCGTGACTCAGTGAGAATCCCCCCCGACTCCTTTTATTTTCATTGCTCTGCCACCAGACAAAATGATTTCACATAGTTTCTGCTGGCCTGTTGGTGGTGGTTAAGTGCTGTATCCATTTGGGGGGTGCTGGGGAGAAGAGACTGGCAAATTTTTTCTTTAGAAAACAGCGGTTAAAAGACTATTTCTACATATAAAAACCCAAACATTCAAGCCAGTTGCTGCTGAGTTGATTTTGACTCCTGGTGACCCAGGGGTTACGGAGTATAACTGTCTTCTTTCATGGTGTTTGTAATGGTTAGGTTCTGTGTCAACTCGACCAGGCCAGGATTTCCAGAGGTTTAGGAGTTGGGATGTACTTATTCCCATGGTGATGAAACATAATACAGGTAGTTAACACTATAATGAGTGGCTATGAGCAACCAATCAATTAAAAGGATGCTTTATTGGGGGCGTGGCCTGCTCCCCATATAATAGACACATGGGAGGGACTCTCTTTCTTCCACTAGGGTTAGGGGACTCTACAATTGTAAGATAATAAACTTCTCTTTATTTACATACACATACGTATGTTTCACTGGTTTTGTTTCTCTAGAAAACCCCAGCCTAATACAGTGCTGGTGGGTGGCTTTGAACCATCCAGGGGTCCTTTAGTTCTATAGACAAAAACCATTGCTGTTGAATGGATTCGACCCTGCTGGATAGAACGATCCCATAAGGATTCCAAGGCTGTAAATCATTATGGAAGCAGATTGCTACAACTTTCTCTTATGGAGGGGCTGGTGGATTAGAACCACCAACCTTTTAGTTAGCAGCTAAGTGCTTAACTACTGCCTCACCAGGGTTCCTTTTTTTTTTTTCCTACAGCTAGGCCTCATTGAAACAATGGTGTGACATGGTTTAGGGCTTTCTGTTCTCAGACACTCAGAACCACGCTGAACACTGAGGGGTCTCACCTCTTGGATGTGCAGGTGTTAATTAGAAAGGAAGCTGTAGTTACCTGTGGTGAAGGACATGAAGAGTCGAACCTTGCTCTGGGCGAGAGTTTGGTAGTAAGACCAACTGAGGTACAGCACCAGGGGAAGCCAGATGAGGGGAACGCTGTACCTGAAGGAGGATCATTAGGGTGAGAGAGACACATAACCGGAAGCTAGCCTCCCAGTGACATGCCTCTTGATTAGAAGAAGTCAAAATGACCCCAAAGCATGTTCAGAAAGAGTATGGAGACCTGGGGTCAAGGGGCTCTGGGGTGGGGGAGGCAAAAAGACGAGAGAGGCTGGTAGTCCATCTACCCTTGACTCAGAGATGAGTTGCTACCAGAAAGGACCTGTGTCTACAGACTACTGACTCTGATCTTGTGGCAAAAGCATCAATTGCAGGCAAACTTATTCCAAAGGACATTGTTAATGGAGTCGATTCTGACTCACTGTGTAGAGTACAACTACTCCATGGGGTTCTCAAGGCTGTGACCTTTCAGAAGCAGATTGGCAGGCTTTTACTTCTTAGGTGCCTCTGGGTGAGTGGGTTTGAACTACCAGCGTTTCAGTTAGCCCAGCACTTTACCACTGCATTAGGCAATGACTCCCCTGGACATTAGAGGTTGGAAAGCCGAGATTGGAGTCTGGAAGGGAGAATCCAAAGCAGTTCCTAGTTACATGTTGGGATGTCACCACTTAGTGGTCAAAGCCATGTGTAGAAAAAGACTGTCGGCAAGGCATGACCTGCCATCCCCAAGTGCTTCTAGCACAGTCCTGAGAAGGAACCCGATCACCCCTTCCCCTTTCCTATCTAGCTGGCACCATGGGCTCGGAGCAGGCTCACCAGACAGTCTTGGAGAGAGCCTCGATGAAGTCCGAGTGAAAGAGGCGGATGGGTCTGATGACCGGCTGATGCACCCACTCATCATACTTCTCTCCCAAGTGGCCCACCTGCCAAAGTAGGGGCTTCTGCCAGTCCACTAGGTCCTGCAAGAAACAAGGTAGAGTGGACACTTGCTATTCATGCCTGTTCACACTCATTTTCCTAATGTTTTTGTTTCTCCCTCATTAAACTTTGTTTTAATAGGTCTCAAATTTCTGTGACAAAATTTTGGTCAAGTTGTTTCCATTTAAAAAGTACTGGTGTTAAAAACTAGTAACTTAAAACTGCCACACACAAAAGAAACCAATGAGCCACATGACTTGCCTTTCCTTCGGAAGGTTTTACGATGAATTGCTATCATTAACTAGTCTTTTACTATTAAACTTAAATGGCCAATTGAGACAAGCAGTTCTGAGACTGTTCTGCCACCACTGATGAAGACTGCAGCGGCAGTTGTTAAAGGTCATATTCATTGAGCCTTCTGAGCTTTCTGAGCAGACTTGGTGACTTAGCTCCAGTAGCCTTTTTGTCCACTGCTTTGATGACACCCACAGCAACTGTCTGTCTCATATCATGAACAGCCAAATGACCCAGAGGAGGGTAGTCTGAGAAGCTCTCAACACACATAGGCTTGCCGGGAACCATGTCAACAATGGCAACAGACCAGACTTCAAGAATTTGGGGTCGTCTTCTGCTTCTTACCAGACTGGTGATCAATCTTCTCCTTGACCTCAGCAAACTTGCAAGCAATGTGAGCTGTGTGACAATCCAGCACAGGTGCATATTCAGCACTGATTTGGCCTGGAGGGTTCAGGATGATCACCTGTGCAATGAAGCCAGCTGCTTCCATTGGTGGATCATTTTTGCTGTCACCAGCCATATTGCCACAGCGAACATCTTTGACAGAGATGTTCTTTATACTGAAGCCTACATTGTCCCCAGGCAGAGCTTTACTCAAAGCCTCATGGTGCATTTCAATAGATTTTATTTCAGTGGTAACGTTGACGGGAGCAAAGGTGACCACCGTGCCTGGTTTGAGAACACCAGTCTCCACTCTGCCCACAGGGACAGTGCCAATACCACCAGTTTTGTAGACATCCTGGAGAGGCACATGCAGGAGCTTGTTAGTTGGACGAGTTAGTGGCAGGATGCAATCCAGAGCTTCAAGCAATGTGGTTCCACTGGCCTTGCCACCCTTATGGGTGACTTTCCATCCCTTGAACCAAGGCATGTTAGCACTTGGCTCCAGCATATTGTCACCATTCCAACCAGAAGTCGGCACAAATGCTACTGTGTCAGGGTTGTAGCCAGTGTTCATAACGTAGGTGCTGACTTCCTTAACGACTTTCTCGTATCTCTTCTGACTGTAGGGTGGCTCCGTGGAATCCATTTTGTTAACACCAACAATTTGGCTGTTTCACATCTAGTGTGTAAGCCAGAAGACCATGCTCATGGGTCTACCCATTCTTAGAGACATAAGCTTCAAATTCTCCAACACCAGCAGCAACCATCAGGACAGCACAGTCAGCCTGTGATGTTCCTGTAATCAGGTTTTTGATAAAGTCTCTGTGTCCTGGGACATCAATGGTGGTCACATAGTACTTGTTGGTCTCAAATTTCTGCAGGAAGATATCAATGGTGATGCCTTGCTCACATTCAGCTTTCAGTTGATCCAAGACTCAGGCATACTTGAAGGAGCTCTTCCCCATCTCAGCAGCTAACTTCTCAACTTTTTCAATGGTTCTTTTGTCAAGTCCCCCACATTTGTAGATCAGGTGACCAGTAGTGGTTAACTTGCTGCAGTCAACGTGTCCAATAACAACAGTGTTGGTATGGGTCTTTTCCTTTACCCATTTTGGCTTAGGTTTTGAGATGGTTTTCACCAACACCTGTATTCTGGTGACAAACCTGTTGCAAAAAAAAAGCCATTGTCCCAACTCTTGATGGCAGCATCTTCAGCCCCCTTCAGCCATGCACTTTGGGCAGGGATACCAACCCTCCCAAACTAGTGGGCCAAAGCTGACCATGCCACTAGTCCCAGCCCCTGGTCACAGTTATGGGATCCAGGACAGGTCTTTGAACCTGGATCAGCTAGCGGAGCCTGCCTGAAAACACAGCACGAGGAGAGCCAAGCTAGGAGAAAGAGACTCAGAGCCTGCCTGAAGTCATCACCGCCCAGCTTTAGACATGTCGAAAGCCCTACAACATCTAGGAGCTGAAACATGCTGTGCCAGGAATGAAAGGGGGCCTTGCGCTTTGGTGTTGGTCTGGGTGATTCATTCATTCATCCATATACTCATTCATTCAACAATTTGCTTAATATTTCAGATATATTTGCTTCTATGCTAGGTGCTTGAAGGATAAACAGGACTATAAGAGACCATCTTTGCTTATTCAGCTGGTGCTTAACCAGAGTTCAGAATGTCTCAGGGATCTAGCCTGGCCCTATCACTTACTGTGTGACCATGGGCAAACCACTTGTGCTCTCTGAGCCTCAGTTTCCAAGACTGTGAAATGGGGATAATGCCAGCAACATACCAAGAGAATGAAATCCCAGGAAGAATATGAAAACATTAAAACTATGAGAAAATTACAAGAAAGAACGCAAAAATCTTGAATTCAACAAAGAAAGACAAACAGAACAAATAAGCAGCAACACCACAAAAACACACAAATGTAATGACAGCAATTAATCAATACCTATCGATAATTACACTGAACGTAAATGGATTCAATGCACCTGGTAAGAGACGGAGGGTGACAGAATGGATAAGAAAACAAGATCCTTCAATATGCTGCCTGCAAGAGACACATCTCACACAGAGGGACAAAAACAGATTAAAAGTTAAAGGATGGAAAAAAATATACCAAGCCAATTCCAATAAAAAGCGAACAGGAGTGGCAGTACTAATTTCAGATAAAATAAACTTCAAGGAAAATACCAGCATAATAGATAAAGATGGACATTAT